CAAGTCTTATTATTTAGACTTGATCCGTTTTTTTTTCTTTCAATGTTTCAGGTCTAGATTTTGTTTTGTTTGTTTTGAGGACACATTTGGTAGTGCTCAGGACCTGAACCTGGCTCTGCATTCAGGGATCACTCCTGGTGGGCTTGGGGGGACCATATGGAGTACTGGGGAATCAAACCCTGGTAGACCATGAGCAAGGCAAGTACCCTACCCACAGTACTACAATTCTGGTCCCTAGGTTTTCTATTTATTGTTTCCCCTAAGAGTGCAGCCTTTCAGATTCCTAACCCTGACAAGAGGACAGTTTAATGTTTTGGGGGAATATTGAGATTCCAACTGACTTTGTTTTGTTATGTTTTTGGTCCATACATAGTGATGCTCAGGAATATCTCCTTGGGGTTTAGGGAACCCTAAGAAATACCAGAGATTGAACCTTGGTCAGCTATGTGCAAGCAAGCACCTTTTCAAAGGTGAGGAGTGTGTCCATTATCTTGTTATTGAAGCGATGGTTTCATAGGTATATGCATATGTCCAAACTTACAAAATTGTATACATTAAATACTCAGAGTTGGACTGGTGAGGTAGTACAGGGATAGAACTTGTCCTGCATTTAGCCGACCAGGTTCAATTCCAGCAGACCATAGGGTCCCCAGAGTACCTTCAGAAGTGACACCTGAGCACAGAGCCAGGAGTAAGTTCTAAGCACTGCCAAGTATGCCCCCCCCCAACAAAAGAAAACCAAAAAGAGTGCAGTTTATGATATATCAAGAGTTTATGAGAAAGGACTCAGAGAACTGGAGCGCATACTTAGTATGCAAGGGCCCCAGGTTTGATCCCCAGCAGCATATGGACTGGACAGGGGTGTGGCCCCAAACCAAACAGTTTACCAAACTTTCCCTGATGCCAAGGTTGCAGGACTCAGGTAGACCTTGAATTCAACACCCAATACCGCCAAAACATAGAATAGGGACTGGAGGACAGTGGTTATGGCACATACCAGGCATGATCTTGAGCCAAGAATTCAATTTCTGCCACCACCTGGTCCCCAGAGCATTTCTGGGGGCAGCCCTGGAGGTCCCTGACACCACCCAGGAGGCCCAAATATGAGCAGCACTGCAGGCCTGAGCAGCACTTCATCCTGCAGCCGTTGAGCTGATCTGACGGCCAGACTGAGAAATGTGAGTGGGGTCCCTGTACCTCCTTAGCACCTCTTGAGAGGTCCTCCCGCAAATAAGATAAATATCCAAGTCAGCATGATAGTACAAAGGGTAGGGTGCTTGCCTCGTACCTGGCTAACTCAGATTGGATCCCGGACACCCCAGGTGTTCTTTCGGGCCCTGCCAGGAGTAATCCCTGAGTGCAGAGCCAGGAGTAAGTCCTGAGCACCACTGGGTGTGGCCCAAAACCAAAAATAAGGGGTCTGAGCTACAGTATAATTTTCAGGGCACTTGTGGAATACCCAGGTTCGATCCTTGGCACACCTGAAGGTCCCCCGATCCTACCAGGAATGATTCCTGAATACAGAGTTAGAAGTAAGCCCTGAGCACTACCAGTGTGCCCAGAACAAAAAATAAAGATAAGTAAACAGCAGAAAGAACTAAATGAAAAAAAAAATTAAACAAAGGTAATTACCTGGGGCTGGAGTGATAGCACAGCGGGTAGGGTGTTTGCCTTGCACGCAGCCGACCCGGGTTCGATTCCCAGCATCCCATATGGTCCCCTGGGCACCGCCAGAAGTAATTCCTGGGTGCGTGTGTCAGGAGTAACCCCTGTGCATCGCCGGGTATGACCTAAAAAGAAAAAGAAAAAAACAAAAAACAAAGGTAATTACCTGACACATGGCTGCTGCCACAATGTTGATTTGAGCCCCAGCACTGCACATGGTCCCCCATGCACTGCCAGGCATGACCCCTGAGCATAAGTGTGTTCATAGCCAAGTGTGCCCACCCCCCCTTAAAAGAAAAGAAATCTCATTTGCTCTCTATCTCTCTGGAGCCAACTGATGAGGCAGAAGACTATTTGCCTGTTCTGCCAAAGTTTGCCTGGTCTCCCTGAGCTACCCTTTCTTGCTTCTCAAATCATTTTATAAGGGTTGTGCTAGATGAGTGCTGGAAACACACAGTTCTCCTGCAGCTAAGGAAGTTCTGCTGGTGAGTGAGCAGGTGGGTGGAACCATGATGAACTAGCTTCATCTCAGGATAATGAAGGATACTAGGTGCCAGCACATTCTTTTTTTTTTTTAATTTTTATTAGTGAAACACCATGAGGTACAGTTGAAGACTTACAAATTTTTGTGCTTGGGTTTCAGTTATACAATGATCGAGTACCCATCCCTCCACTAGTGCCCATTCTCCACCACCACGGGTCCCAGTATTCCTCCCACCCCCCCATCTTCCCCATCCCACCCTGCCTCTGTGGCAGGGCATTCCCTTTTGTTTTCTCTTTTTGGGTGCTGTGGTTTGCAAAAGAGACATTGGGTGGCATCGGTCTATAGTCTACTTCTAGCATGCATCTCCCATCTTGGGAGGATCCTCCCAACACCATTTACTTGGTGCTCCCTTCTCTATCTGAGCTGCCTTTCCCCCTAGCATGTGCGGCTGGCCTCCAAGTCATGGAGTAAGCCTTCTGGTACCTATCTCGGCTATTCTTGGGTGTTAGTCTCCTATTTTGTTACTTTATGCTACCCAGATGAATGCAATCTTTCTGTGTCTGTCCCTTTCTTTCTGACTCATTTTGCTTAGCATGATATTTTCCATGTAGTACCACTTGTATGTAAATTTTATGACTTCATCTTTTCTAACAGCTGCATAGTATTCCATTGCCCAGCATATTCTTTATCCAGACTCTATGGATATTGTTAGGTATCTAGTCTTTTTTTTTTTGCTTTTTTTTGGGGGGGGGGTCACACCTGGTGATGCACTGGGATTACTCCTGACTCATGCACTCAGGAATCACTCCTGGCAGTGCTCAGGGGACCATATAGGGTGCTGGGAGTCGAACTCGGGTCAACTGCGTGCAAGGCAAATGCCCTACCTGCTGTACTATCGCTCCAGCCCCGGTATCTAGTCTTTCACTACAAGCTAGAAATCTAAATAGTTGTGGGCCCGGGGTGTAGCTCAGTGGTGAAGAATATACTTTGCTCCTGTGAGCCTCTGGGCTCAGGTCCTGGTACTGAAAAATAAAATAGGATAAAAGTTTGAGAAATCCAAATATTCATGTGTCAGCTGCTCATTTCTAAGTGTGGACAATTAAATAAAATATACATATGGGGGGGGCTGGAGTGTTAGTACAGTGGGTTGTGCATTTTTGACTTGCACACGGCCAACCCAGGTTAGATCCCCAGCATCCCATATGGTCCCCGAGCACTGCTAGGAGTGATCCTTGAGTGCAGTGCCAGGAGGGATCCCTGGACATCGCCAGGTATGGCCTTTTGGCCATAAACATAAATCAAAAACAACATAAACCCAAAACAACAACAACTACAAAAACATATGGGGCCAGAGCAATAGCACAGCCTGTAAGGCCTTGCACATGATCCACCCCGGTTAGATCCCCAGCATCCCATATGACCCTCCAAGCCTGCCAGGAGTAATTTCTGAGTGGAAAGCCAAGAGTAACCCCTGAGCACCGCCAGGGTTACTTGGCTATGGACACACTTATGCTCAGGTGACCCAAAATCAAAACAAAACAAAAACTGGGGCTGGAGCGATAGTACAGCGGGTAGGGCGTTTGCCTTGCACGCGGCCGACCCGGGTTCGATTCCCAGCATCCTATATGGTCCCCTGAGCTCCACCAGGAGTAATTCCTGAGTGCAAAGCCAGGAGTAACCCCTGTGCATCGCTGGGTGTGACCCAAAAAGCAAAACAAACAAACACAAAACAAAAACTAAATGAAATGTATTTAGAAATATAGGCATATAGGCAAGCCAGGCAGGCTTGCTGTCTGAAATTCGTCTATGGTTACAGTCTGCTTTAGACCACAGTACTGGAAATGTTCCTAAAGTCCCATATACAGGGAACGTTCTTCAGTATTCTCTCTTCAGAATTCCCCGCACAGAATTCCTGGCGGGGTTAGGGGAACCATATGGGGCTGGGGAATGGGGACTGGAATCTCGGTGGGCTGCCTTAGCCCGTCTGCTATCTCTCCAGCACTGGGAATACCTTTCTTATCCTTCTGCTCTTGTAGAATTATTTCTCCTTGGAGAACAGTTCTTCGGAGGAGAAATTTCCTGGTTTCACTGTGGGCAGAATGTGGGCCCCTTAAGCCACGCGGCGTTTCCCCAGATGGAGCTCCCTGGACACACTGTGCCCGCAGCATCTAGTCCGGGCTTCACCTGCGCGTGGGAGTGTCCGGCGGATGAAGGCAGGCGGCGCCGCAGACCAATGCCTCCCACCAACCACTAGAGGGCAGACCGAGCCCACGGAGGTCCGGACAGGCGCTGCGCCCGCGGGCCCCGGAGTCCGCGCGGGCCACCCCGCCAGTACCGTCCCCCGCCCCGCTATCGCAAACGCGGCCCCACGGTCCCCAAGCTCCCGCACCAAGGTCGCCCCGCACGCGGCCTCCTGCTCGCTATCGGCCCTAGACGAACTCAGAATCAGCCGCGCCTTCCCGCGCGGTCCCTTGCCCTGGGCGAACCGGCTGCATCTGGAAGCCAAGGCGGGGCAAGGAGCACTCCGGAGGGACTAAGGTTCTTAACACCCTGGCCTCAGCGACGTCAACGGTTCTTCCAGAAACCGCCACCCTCCCGCCCCCAGCCTGACACCTTCTCCTGCCACGATCCCAAATCAGCTCAAGTCCCCCCACCAGCCCCCTCGCCCCAGGTCGGAGGGGGAGGGTCAAGACGGGGGGGGGCAGGAGACCCTCCCCGGACCTCCCACACACGTCCATTCCCGACGCCGCCCTGTCCTGCGCCCACGCGGGGGCGCCCCTCGGGCGGGTTTGCACGCGCGCCGGCGGGGAGCGGGGAGGCGGGGACGACGCAGGAGAGCCCGAGACCTGGGGCGGGCAGGAAAGAGTTAAAGATCCAGGCTTGGCTCCTCTGTCACCGGGTCTGGGAGGGGAAGCGGCCGGAGGGAGGGCTGGGAGCCCGCGGCGATCCTCCCCAGCCCCCCCGGACGGCGGAGCCCTGGGCCGGCCCGCTCCGGCACACTCGCGCGCATCCGACCTCCGCTCGCGCTTCCCTCCCGCATCCTCTCCGCCCCGGGCTCGCGGGCGCGCTTCCTCCCCCCGCTTGCTCCCCGGCACAAATTCACACCCTCGCCCCCAAACACAGCTCGCTGGCTCGCTGGCCGACTCGCTCCGACCCCTCTCGGCGCCCACCTGCTCCGCCGCGCTCTCCGCGCGCGCTCGGCTGCGCGCCCCGGGCCCGGCCGCCGCGGCGAGGCGCCCCCCGTCCCGCTCCGGCCGCTCCCGCCCTGAGCCCCGGGGGGCGCCGCCGAGGCCATGGTGCGAGCGCCCACCCGCCGCGGAGCCCGCTGAGACCATGCCGCTCCCCGGGCGCCCCGCCGGCGCCCGCCGCCTGCTGCTCCTGCTGCTGCCGCCGCTGCTGTGCGCCCGCGGACAGGCGGACGACCTGACGGTGGCCGTGGTGCTGCCGCTGACCAACACGTCGTACCCGTGGTCGTGGGTGCGCGTGGGTCCGGCCGTGGAGCTGGCGCTGGCGGCGCTGCGCGCGGGGCCGGGGCCGCTGGCCGGCTGGACGGTGCGCACCGTGCTGGGCAGCAGCGAGGACGCGCGGGGCGTCTGCTCGGACACCGCCGCGCCGCTGACCGCCGTGGATCTCAAGTGGGAGCACCGGCCCGCCGTCTTCCTGGGCCCCGGCTGCGTGTACTCCGCCGCCCCCGTGGGGCGCTTCACGGCGCACTGGCGGGTGCCGCAGCTCACGGCCGGCGCCCCAGCTCAGGGCTTCGGCGCCAAGGACGAGTACGCGCTGACCACGCGCACCGGGCCCAGCCACGCCAAACTGGGCGACCTGGTGATCGCGCTGCACCGACAGCTGGGGTGGCGGCGCCAGGCGCTCTTGCTCTATGCCTACCAGCCGACGGAGGAAAAGCCCTGCTTCTTCGTCGTGGAGGGCCTGTACCTGCGCGTCGCCCAGCGCCTCAACATGACGCTGGAAGACCTGGAGTTCACCGAGGGCGACCGCGACCACTACGTCAAGCTGCTGCGCCGGGTGCAGCGCAAGGGTCGGGGTGAGCGGCCCGCCCGCCCCCACCCCCACCCGCGCCTTCTAGAACCATCCCGGCCTCCTGGCTTGGCTGGGACGCCTTCTCCCGGCACGGTCTATTCTGCCACGGCTCTCCCTGCGCGCCCCCACGCTCCCCCGCTCGCCCGCCCAGCCCCCCGCTTAGCGCACCCCCACGGTGCGCCCCGGCTTAGCTCCGGCCCCCTTTTATGTCCCCTTTTACTCCCTTGGCATCCACGCACGCCCTCCCCCACCTGCGCCTCCTCCATGCCACCCCCCTCCCGTCCGATCTGCTCACACCCGCCCTCCCTCCCTCCCCTCCAGGCCGCCGGCTCTGACCTCACCCGGGTCAGAGCCTCCCCCACCAACTCGCCGGTCTCTTTCCCTCCCCCTCACCAACTCTCGGGTCTCTCCTCCCTTTCTCCCTTCCTCCCCAGTCATCTACATCTGCAGCCCCCCAGACACCTTCCGCGCGCTCATGCTCGTGGCGCGGGAGGAGGGCATGAGCGGCGCCGACTACGTCTTCTTCCACCTGGACCTGTTTGGGTACAGTCTGCAAGGGGCTCACGGCCCGGGCCCCCGCAAGCCCTGGGAGCGAGGGGACAGGCTGGACGACAGCGCCCGCCAGGCCTTTCAGGTGGGTGTCTGCGCTGCACCGCCAGGCCAGGGACGGACGCAGGGTCTCTGGTGTGGGAAAGGATCGTGAGGACTATGCGAGGCTCCATCCCCCCGCCCCACCCCCACGCCTTGCATAGGGGCCCTGAGCCCTGAGCCCCGAGCCCCGTGTGTCCCAGAAACCAAAGCCAAACCCCCGCCAAAAAAAGGCTTCCAGGAAAGTCTTGGTGCTCTCAGGGCTGAGGTGACCTGTGGGGTAGGATGGAGAATGGGCTGGGGTGTTTGTGCGTCCCACAACTCCCAGGGTGGGGAGAAGTCTCCCCCTGGCGCTGTCCTGGAGGGCCAGGATAGATGGAGTCCTCCAGTCACTGTGGAGGTAGGAGGGGGCGGCAGGACCCAGAGAGGACTGAGTCCCTTTCCCCTCTCCTCCACCCCTTTCCCCGGCTCTGCAGGTTGCCAAGATCATCACTTACAGGGAGCCTGAGAATCCCGAGTACTTGGAGTTCCTGTCACAGCTCAAACACTTAGCCCTGGAGCAGTTCAACTTCACCTTGCAGGATGGTCTGGTAGGACGGGCTTCTGGGATCTTCTCCTCCCATGCCCGTTCTCTGTTCTCTGCCCTCCTGGGACCCCGGGACTCCCCTTTTCTCCTCCCCCTGTGACATGGGGCTTCTGAGGACAGAGGCACTCTTACAAGTGGAGTTGCCTTGGCCAAACCCAGAGGGCCCCTCTGCAGCTGCCCGCGGGCAGCAGTGCCTCCAGTCTCTCAGGAGCAGTGACATCTCTCCTTCACATCATCACGGGACTCCTCCCATCCTCCGTCCAGCTCCTAGTGCAGCCCACCCCTCATGCCCTCTCATCCCTCCTACAGGTGAATACCATCCCCGCGGCCTTCCACGACGGACTCCTGCTCTATGGCCAGGCTGTGGCTGAGACTCTGGCCGAGGGGGGCACCGTCACTGATGGGGAAGGCATCACCCAGAGGATGTGGAACCGCAGCTTCCAAGGTCGAGGCCTGGGCGGGCAGGAAGAGGCTGCCTTGGGGTACCCCAGGCTAGAGATCCCAAGATGCCTTTCGCAGGCCAGCACCGGGGCAGGAGGTGGAAGGGGGGAGGGCACTTGTCCACTCCAGGAGGCTTCTCTCCTTATAAGGCGCCCCCACGGCTCCCTTCCCTGCTCCCTAGTTCCATGGAGAAACTGCCAGGATGCCCGCCCCGGTCATTCCTGGCACTGAATCATCTGTCACGTCAGCTAAGCTGGGAAGACGAGGCAGAAAAGATCAGGGTACGGATGCAGGGGTGCTCCCCTGAACTTCTCTGTCGCAAACCAAAGCCCTCTTCTTCCTCGGGGCCCAGGTGTGACAGGGCACCTGAGGATTGACAGCAATGGCGACCGGGAGACAGACTTCTCCCTGTGGGACATGGAGCCTGGGAGCGGCGCCTTCAGGGTGAGCCAGGTCCCAGGAGCCTGGGAAACAGACCTGCTTGGGGGGGGCAGGGGCTTCCAGAGCCACAGGGGTTCACAGTCGCCCTGGGAAGGAACCCCTGTTTGCTGAAGGAGCATGCCCTATCGCCCAGGTGATAGGCAGGAGGAGCCCTGGGCGGCCAGGGTTCCTGGGGGAGGGGTGCCTGGGATAGGCCCTGGGATATGAGTTAAAACCACTGCCTTCCCCTTTCTCTCTGAGCCTCACTTCCTGAGTGCCAGAATGAGGTTCAATATGAACCTTTGCTCATTGCTTTTGGAGGGGACAGAGTTCAGCCATACCTGATCTTGCTCAGGGGCTACTCCTGGCTTTGTGTTCAGGGAATGTGTACTGGTGGTGCTTGGGAAATTATCTGCAGTACCAGGATCAGGGTCGGCCACGTGCATGGCAAGCTCCTTATCCTCTGTACTATCTTTGTGAACTTTTCCTTAGAAAACTCTTAAATGGTTTCCTATTTTAATTTTTCTGGGGTTGTTTGTTTGTTTGTTTAAGGGCCACACCCAGGTGTGCTCAGGGTTTATTGCCTCTGCACTCAGGGATCACTCCTGGCAGGGGCTGGAGACCCTATGTGTTGTCAGGGATCAGCCATGTAGGAGGCAAGCGCCTTCCCTGTCATGCTATCTCTCCAGCCCCAGGTTTCAAATTTTTCTGCCTCCATCCCAAGAGGTGTGGGTGTGTGGGCTTTCTGCACTGGTCCATAGTGGGGGTCCTTAAGCAGCAGAAGGGGAGTGGGTGGGCAGTGGCAGAACAACAGGTGCCCCACCCCAGCTCCTAGCCTACCCTTCCTTCCTCCCATAGGTTGTTCTGAACTACAACGGGACGTCCAAAGAGCTGGTGGCGGAGTCAGGGCGCAAACTGAACTGGCCTCTGGGGCACCCACCGCCTGATGTCCCTAAGTGTGGCTTTGACAACGAGAACCCAGCCTGCAACCTAGGTGACCTCCACGTTCCAGGCCTCCAAGCCACTGATCCACTGGGGATGCGCTCTTCTCTGGGGCGGGGGCAGAGCTCTTGCCTTTTCCTCTATGCCTCTGCCGACTCAGTTCACTATCAGAAGGTCCTCCTGGGGCCAGAGATAGACAGGACAGCGGGGAGGGCATTTGCCTGGCACACGGCTGACCCAGATGTGATCCCTCATGTTCTGTATGGTCCACTGAGCCCCTCTGGGAGTGAGCCCTGAGCACAGAGCCAGGAGTAAGCCCAGAGCACTGTTGGGTATGGCTCAGAAACAATAAGAACAAGAACAAAAAACCCGAGATCTCTTCTGCTGTCTAATGTTAGTTCCCACAGACCACTTTTCCACGCTGGAGGTTCTGGCTGTGGTGGGAAGCCTCTCCCTGTTCTGCATCCTGATCATCTCCTTCTTCATCTACAGGTGAGTGGGTGAGGGCAGGGAGGGAGGACCAGAAGGGGTTGGGGGGGAGGGCCAGGGCAAAGATGGTGGGGAGAGGAGGCGTGGCATGGCTGAGGGGGACCAGGGGGGCCTCAGAGGAGCAGAACCTTTGGGGGAGTGGCATCAGGAGTGTGGATCCCCTCTTCCTACGTGTGCAGACCGGATGGAAGTCATGGTTCAGAGTCTTTGAGATGGGACCCGTGTCTAACCGAGCTATGTGGAACCTGGTGGAGAAGGCGCAGGGGCCCCCTCCTGTCTTCCAGTACACAGGAGCAGGGCAGGAATGCAGGGCTGAGGGGGTGAGAGGGAAGGAAGGGTCCTTGCTGGGAGCTTGGATTCTGTGCGCACTGCCCGGGGCTGTTCTCTAAGGTTCATGATAGTATGATAGTACTCTGCAGCAAACATTGAGGGCTCCAGTTTTTTAAGGAAGATGTGACTCAGAGAAGTTAAATTGATATATCTGCTGTCCCCAGGGAAGAAAAAATATCACCTCCTGTCTTACCATCAACTATGGTGCTTCCCAGAGTAGGGGATTCTGCAACTGGGTGCAGAGATAAAACTGGGAGTAGCCTTGGGACACTTTCTGTTTGTTTCCTTGCAAAGGTAGATTACAGGGCCTGAGGGATAGAAAAGTGGGTAGTGCACTTGTCTAGTGCCTGACCCATCTGACTTCGATCCCCAGCATTCCATGTGATATCCCATTGCTAGCAGGAGTGATTCTTTTATTTTTTTAATTTTTAATTTTTATTTTTGCTTTTTGGGTCACACCCGGCGATGCACAGGGGTTACTCCTGGCTCTGCATTCAGGAATCACTCCTGGCGGTGCTCTGGGTTGGCTGCGTGCAAGGCAAACACCCTACCTGCTGTGCTATCGCTCCAGCCCTATCAGGAGTGATTCTTGACACAGAGTCAGGAGTAAGTCCTGAGCACCATTGGGTATTACCCCAAAACAAAAGGACCCACCCTCTCCACAATCAAAAGGTAGCGATTACAGACCAAAGAGAATAGGGAACCTGGCTTGCTGGCTTGCACATGGCTGATCCTGGTTTGATCTCTGGCATCCCATATGTCCCCCAAGCATCTGAGCAGAGAGCCAAGAGTAAACCCTGAGCACTGCTGTGTGTGGCCAAGAAAACAAACCCCAAAAAAGTAGATTACAGGGCTGGAACGATAGTATAGTATTTGGGTGCTTACCTTGCTCATGAGGGACCCAGGCTATGGTCCCCCTAGCCCTGCCAGGAGTGATCCCTGAGCACAGAGCTAGGAGTAGGTCCTGAGCACGGCTGGGGGTGACCCTCAAACGAACAACAACAAAAGGTAGATAGATTATAGGGCAGCAGGCAAGGCCTTTTCCTTGCATTAGCCAACCTGGGTTTGACCCCTGACATTTGTGTATGGTTCCCTGAGCCCTACCAGGAGTGATCCCTGAGCACAGCTGGATGTGACCCCCAAACCTAAGTAAGTAAGAAGATTAAAATGTGAATTTCCAGGGCCCATCTTAGCTTGCTGGTATGTAGGGTTTGTATGCTGGAATCTATTAGCACTTGTCGGTATGGCCAAAAATCAAAATAAAAGTAAGGTAGATTCCCAGGGGCCACTGAGCAGCTTGCTCCTGGAAAGGGAGCAATAGACCAAGCAAATCTGGAAGCTGCTGGCCTCGAGGATAGACCTTGTCTCTGTGTCTCAGCAGCGGGGAGGGGCTGGGGGAGGTGAGCCGGGCAGAGGACCATAGAACACCTGTCCTGGCTCGGGCTTCTGCCTGAGCTCAGATGCAGGTTTCATGCTCCAGGAAGATGCAGCTGGAGAAGGAGCTGGCCTCAGAGCTGTGGCGGGTACGGTGGGAGGATGTGCAACCCAGCAGCTTGGAGAGACACCTCCGGAGTGCGGGCAGCAGGCTGACCCTGAGCGGGGTAAGGAGTGGGGCCCAGGGTGTGGGTGGGGCCCAACTGGTAAGGTTATTTGGCTTGGTTCACCTCTGTGATGTTGGCTGGGCTTGGTCGCTCTTGGAGTCCATCCTGGGGAATGTGTGCAGCTTCAGGGCCTCTCACCAGAACTTTCTTAGGTCAATGATGATTTATGTGAAAATGCTTTTTTTTTTTTTTAAATGAGGAAGGAAGGGCCAGAGAGATAGTACAACAGGCAGGACGCTACCTTGTACAGGGCTGACCTGAGTTCCTCTCCAGCACTATATAGGGTCCCCCCCAGCACCAGCAGGAGTCACCCCTGAGTGCAGAGCCAGGAGTAAGACCTGTGTACTGCCAGGTGTGACCCCAAAACACGCACGCACGCGCGCACACACACACACACACATGCACACACACACGGAGAGGGAGAAGATGGCTGAAAGGAGTGAAGAGCATCTTTGCATGCATAAAGCCCCTATTCTGGAGGGAGGATTTCATGGTGGGCTGTGAAAAGAAGTGACAAGGCTAAGACCTGGCATGACGCCAGAGCCATTCAGTGGAGAGCTGGGCCCAGGGGCTGACCGTGTCCCTCCCGCTTCTTCAGAGAGGCTCCAACTATGGCTCCCTGATGACCACGGAGGGCCAGTTCCAAGTGTTCGCCAAGACAGCATATTACAAGGTGGGCCTGGGCAGGGCTGGGCTCTGAGGGAGCACCACAAGGGTCCCACGCTTGGTTCTGGGCTACCAGGAACACCACCCCCTCCTCATAGTGCCTGTCCCTTGTCCAGGGCAACCTCGTGGCTGTGAAGCGTGTGAACCGGAAGCGCATCGAGCTGACACGGAAAGTCCTGTTTGAACTGAAGCATGTAATGTGGGATTGGGGGTCCAAGGGTAGGCCCTTGCTTATGGTGATGGCATGAGGGCAACAAGGCTGGGGAAAGGAGGGCCCAGGAGAGACTCGACAAGTTTTGCACACAGGAGGCTGGGTTCACTCCCCAGCACTAAAGGGGCCCCACCAGCACTAAAGAGTGAACCCCAAACTCAGAGCTGAGAGTAAGCCCTGAGCGCTGCCTGTTATGGCCCCCCAAAGCAAAACCAAAGTGTGGAGAAGGGACCCTGGACACATCCTGGAGGAAGGGCCCCCTTCCCCGCCTGCTCTTATCAGGGTTGAGGGCTTAGGGACAGAGGAAACTGGGAGTAGATGTGGAGCAGAGGGCCAAAGAGCAGGAGGGGACCAGGGGCATGGCGCAGGTAGCACATACCTGGCTGGTGTGAGGCCCCGGTTCCATCTCTGGCACTGCCAGCAACGTGGGTCCAGAGACCCTGAGCACAGAGTGGAGGGACGGCTGAGTAAATGTGTGGGAATCCCCAGGGCAGGCACTAGAACATCTGGCAAGCAGGAATAGGGAGGGAAGCAGAGGGTCTGAGGGGGGCCCAGGAGAGTCCCTGCAGGGGGGCACAGGAGGGATCCCTTGAGGGGACACAGAAGGGACCCCTGGGGCATTGGGGAGCTTGAGGGGATGCAGACGCACAGTGGGAATGAGGTCTCCGTGGACCCCTGGTGCGGGTCCCTACTTGCAGATGCGGGACGTGCAGAACGAACACCTGACTAGGTTTGTGGGCGCCTGTACTGACCCCCCCAACATCTGCATCCTCACGGAGTACTGTCCCCGCGGGAGTCTGCAGGTAAGCGCAGGCCAGACCACCTCTTTGCTCCTGCCCATCTACCACGAGGCTAGCCAAGGGGCGGGCTCCCTTCTCCGACTGGGTTCCTACCCCCACCCACACCCCTGCGGAAGGGAGTGAATCCAGGCATTTGTCCGTGTGATCATGCACACATGTACACACGTGTCTGTGGCACGGGTGTGACTGTCGCTGCCCACAGGACATCCTGGAGAATGAAAGTATCACCCTGGACTGGATGTTCCGGTACTCTCTCACCAACGACATAGTCAAGGTGGGTCTACAGAGCCTCCAGGGGCGGGGGTGGGGGGGACAGGCGAGCTGCTCCCCTTCTGGAGCATGCCAAGACCCCGGCCCCGATCCCCAGGGCATGCTGTTCCTGCACAACGGGGCCATTTGCTCCCACGGGAACCTCAAGTCCTCCAACTGTGTGGTGGACGGACGCTTTGTGCTCAAGATCACGGACTACGGGCTGGAGAGCTTCAGGGACCCGGAGCCCGAGCAAGGACACATCCTTTTCGCCAGTGAGCCCGCCTCTAACCCCCACCCCCCACCCCGCTCTGCCCGAGCTCTGATTGGCGGAGCGCATTTCCTTTTCCCACGGACCCATTCATAAATATAGAGGAGTCCCCCGAAGGGGCCTCCCGCCGCTCCTAGCTCCTCGGAGGTCCGCAGTCTGGAGAAGCTTCCTGCTGGTCTGTGCAAGTCACTGACTGCTGAGCTCGCCCAGCGTGCAAGCCCTGCGGGCGCCTGACTGCTAGAGACACGGTTGAAATCAGCTTTCGAGCTTGAGCCCCCGAGGGGACGCGTCCAAGTCAGCCCCTTCTGCCCAGGCCTTACCTTTCCCTCCTTCCTTATCTCTGGGACCTTTCACTAAGTGACCCCCAATCTCTGACCCACAGAAAAGTTATGGACGGCGCCTGAGCTCTTGCGCATGACCTCGCCACCTGCCCGCGGTTCCCAGGCCGGGGATATATACAGCTTCGGCATCATCCTCCAGGAGATAGCCCTGAGGAGCGGGGTCTTCCACGTGGAAGGGCTAGACCTCAGTCCCAAAGGTGAGAGCGTCCAGTAGGCCGCAGCGGACCGGTGCAGTGCCAGCAAGGTGGTCTCTGCGAGGGGGGGGGGGGCCGCCGGGCTCCACTACTCCCCGGACCCGAGGCTTTCGCAGCAGCTGCTCTCCCACCGCCTCACCCTCTGCTTCTCCCCCTTGCCACCCAGAGATCGTCGAGCGGGTGACACGGGGTGAGCAGCCCCCCTTCCGGCCCTCCCTGACCCTTCAGAGTCACTTGGAGGAGCTGGGGCAGCTGATGCAGCGCTGCTGGGCCGAGGACCCCCAGGAACGGCCGCCTTTCCAGCAGATCCGCCTGGCGCTGCGCAAATTCAACAGGTCCCCACCCCGACGTCCCATTCGGCAATTGGCGGAGGGAGGGAGCCGCGTCTGATACGAAGGGGGGCAAAGAGTGCCAGGGCCAGGGCCGGGGCCGGGAGCGGGGTGGGCGCTCTAGGGTAAGGTCCCTAGGGTGAGGTCCCGCTGCCCTCACACCCCCACCTCTGCCGCCCCGCGCTGCATTCAGGGAGCAGAGCAGCAACATCCTGGACAACCTGCTGTCGCGCATGGAGCAGTACGCCAACAACCTGGAGGAGCTGGTGGAAGAGCGCACGCAGGCCTACCTGGAGGAGAAGCGCAAGGCGGAGGCGCTGCTCTACCAGATCCTCCCGCAGTGAGCCCCGCCCCGCGCGCCCCCGCTGCGCCCCCCGCGCCCCTGCTGCCTCCTCCTCTTGCTCCGCCCGCCCCTGCTGCGCCACCCCCCAGCCCCCGCCCGACCCGCTGCGAGCCCTCGAACGACCCCAGCCAGCCCTGTCCCCTTGCAGCTCCGTGGCCGAGCAGCTGAAGCGCGGCGAGACGGTCCAGGCGGAGGCCTTCGACAGCGTCACCATCTACTTCAGTGACATCGTGGGCTTCACGGCTCTGTCAGCAGAGAGCACGCCCATGCAGGTGGGCGAGGGTGCTGCGCGGGAAGGTGGGTGGGCAGCGACCTGCTCCCATCTGCTGGTTCTGGGAGAGGGTCCCCTGACCCCCAACCCCTAACCCGGGTCCGGTCCCTGACACCCCGCCGACCTGGTTCCTGTCCTGCAGGTGGTGACTCTGCTCAATGACCTGTACACCTGTTTCGACGCCGTTATAGACAACTTTGATGTGTACAAGGTGAGTGGCGGTGGGAAGGGACCCGCGGGGTCAGAGGAAGAGGAGTGGCAAGAGAGAAGACCAGGGTGGGCAGAAAGCGAGCATGTCAGGGGGGTGGACAGACAGTGCCCATGGTCGGGGGGGGGGGGGGTGCGAGGGGAAGCCAAGTACCAGCCCTGGCGTGCTGTACCCCTCCTCCCTGCACCGCGCAGGTGGAGACCATCGGCGACGCCTACATGGTGGTATCCGGGCTCCCCGTGCGGAACGGGCGGCTGCACGCCCGCGAGGTGGCCCGCATGGCCCTGGCGCTGCTGGACGCCGTGCGCTCCTTCCGCATCCGCCACCGGCCAGATGAGCAGCTGCGCCTGCGCGTCGGCATCCACACAGGTGCGGGCGCGGGCGGGGGCGGGGCCTGCAGGACGCCCCACCCGTCCCGGCTCACAGCCCCGCCCCCTCCCCCAGGCCCCGTGTGTGCCGGTGTGGTGGGACTCAAGATGCCCCGATACTGCCTATTTGGGGACACGGTCAACACGGCGTCCAGAATGGAGTCTAACGGGGAAGGTAGGGGTGTGTCTCCGGGATGGAATGAGTGGAGACTCCCCTCCCAGCGCTCGGGCCTTTCCAGCCGTTGACAGCCGCCCAGGGCTGATCACCTCCGGTGGAATCAGGCCTAGAACCTTGCTCTGCTTCTTACTGCTTGTCTTTCTGCCTGGTGTTCCGTAATTTCCCCTACTCTGATGTAGCAGATGGGAGGGCAGAGCAGCCCACTGGTTATTGAGTCAGAGGCAAAGCCTCTTAGCTTTGCGTTGCTTTGCTAGGTCAGTTTCCTTCACCTGTAAAATGTAAATAAGAGATCTACCCTACAACTCTCACTTAGGTGTGAAAGTCGAATAACTGTTTCTGAGCCTCATCCCTGAGAGACACATGCCTGTATCCGGTGGTAAAAAACAAATAACCCCACTTGGGGTGTGAACAGACCCCACTCTGGGTGTGCCCAGGGACCACCAGCTTCTGCCTCTTCTTTGTCTGGCTTCTGCCCGTCTGCTGTATTCAGTCATTACGATGACTGCCCACTGTGTTCTGGGGGCGTGAAACCACCCAGATCCTCAGCTGTGCAGTCTTTGCACACTCCTTGAGAGTCTAACGGAGGCTGGAAAAAGAGCGCTGAGTAGCCCAGAGTGGGGCTGGTTCAACACCTGTGCCCTGGGCTGGAGAGATAGCATAGTGGGAAGGCATTTGCCTTGCACACAGCTGCCCTTGGTTTGATCCCTGGCAGTGCCTCGAGTTCCCCAAGCAAGCACTATGAGAGGTGTGATCCTTGAGCACGGAGCCAGCAATAAATCTGAGCACTATCAGGTGGGACCCAAAAACCTATAACCAGTGATAGAGATATGCCCTGGTCACTGTGCGTGGCTGTTGGGGCAGGAGCAAGCCTGGCACTGGGGCCTGTCTGATGATACAAGGCCTCAAGAGTGGTCCAGAACCCAGGAGGAGTTCAGCGGCCCCATCTGAGGGAGATCCAAGAGGTGTGGGGGAGACCTGGGACCATCTCCCAAGGTCTCTGTCCCCTTTGGACAGAGTGAGGGTGTTGATGACCGTCAGCAAGATCTTGAGTGCTGCTGCATGGTTGGGTTTGTTCAAAGCCACAAATGTTCATTCAGCCTGTCCAGAACTTTGAGTGGATCCTGTCACCTTCCTGACATTTTGTAGACCTGGGTTTAAGGGGTGCAGTTGAGTTGAGTTCCCAGAGCCAGGGTATTGGCTGGGATTTCAGAGGCCAAGTGGGATCCTCAAGCAGAGCCAGTGACACTGCCCCGTCTGTCCAGACCTGGGGGCAGCCCAGGCCAGAGAACTTTTGTGTGGTTGAGCATGTCCCGGAACCCGTGAACTCCAGGATCTGGTCCCCCTGCCCTCAGAACTGCCGTTTCCGGGACTGCAACTGGCCAGGGGCATGAGGTTTCAGCTGTTTCCGCTGATTCAGACTGAAGTAGCCCCAGGTGACCAGTGCAGGACGTCATGACCGGACGCCACAGGGAGGAGTGAGGCTGTGAATGGGGACAGTGTCAGGCACCCCTCACTGTCTCTTCTGTTTTTTTTTTTTTTTCTGCCCAGCGCTGCGGATCCACTTGTCTTCAGAGACTAAGGCTGTGCTGGAGGAGTTTGGGGGCTTCGACCTGGAGCTCCGAGGGGACGTGGAGATGAAGGTAATGGAGGGGTCTCCTGTCTGCCTGCCCTTGAGCTGCCAAGGAGCTGCCTGGCTCTCACCCACCCTGAGGCCTCTCAGCTGCTTTGGGGAGCTTGTGCCCCGCCTGCCAGGCCCAGACCCCTCTTTCATTTTCCCTCTAGGGCAAAGGCAGGGTTCGGACCTACTGGCTCCTGGGGGAGCGGGGGAGCGGCCCCCGAGGCTGACTACCCGCCACCTTTCCCTGCAAGGCATAGGCCAAGCCTGCGAGGAATGAGAACCGGATCGAGGCGTTAGGGTGCAGGGCCAGGACCCTCTGCAGTCAGCGTCCACTGGGCCCGAGGGTCAGGGAGCCTCACTCTCCAGCTGGACTCAGGCCCTGTGGAGTGTGGGGTGTTGACCATCCTCCCGCCCCTTCCCGTGCTCCCCTCCACATGCCTCCAACCTCGAACCTTGCTACACTGTGACTTCCCAGGGGTGGTGGGAGCTCCCTTGGGGAACTAGGAAAAGGGATAACAGGTGACTAGAGGCTGGGGGAGCCACTTGGGCCTAGCCCATGTAACCCGCCCCCTTCCCCCCACCCCGCTGTCAGTCAGTCACTCCCCTCCCCCCCCTTTGGTGCATTGGGTGAGGAGGGCTGGCTACACCATTGCTTGTCTGAGCAAAGACCATTAAAGTCTTTATTCCAGTGAAAGTGTCTCTCCTTTTTGGTTTGGTCTTTTGGGGTCACACTTGGCAGTGCTCATGGCTTCTGGCTCTGTGCTCAGGTGTCATTTCCAGCGATTCTCAGGAGGCCCTGTGAGATGCTGGGGTTGACGGTGTGCAAAATAAACAGCCTTCTCTGATGTCCTGTCCCTCCAGCCAGGAAGTCTCTTTTGGAAGGGACAGTGTGGGGAGAGGGCAGACTTAGTGCGTGCATATAGGAGACCAGGTTAGATTCCCTCTGCAGGATCCCATAAGCACCACCAGGAGAGACTCCCCGAGCACAGAGCTTGGAGCTTGGAGCTTTGAGTAGCCCTTGAGAACTGTAAGAGAGAGAGAGAGAGAGAGAGAGAGAGAGAGAGAGAGAGAGAGAGAGAAAGAGAGAGGGTAGCTGGAACACATAGCTGTGATCCTTACCCTCCAGTGTCTGTAAGGGGCTGCAGTTTCCTCCCCTCAGAGAATACCAGATAGCAGACCCTGAGGGCCTCCGGCAAGACCACCTTACTGTTCATACCCATATGAATTTCAGGGCCAGGGGCTGGAGAGATAGTTCAGCAGGTTGGGTAATTATCTTTCATTCAGCTGATCCAAGTTCCATCCCTGGCACCTCATATGGTCCCCTGAGCCTGCCAGGAGTGATCAATCCTTGATCAACTTCGGGTGTGAGCCCAAAACAAAAAATCATGTGAGTGGGCTAGAGAGACAGTATAGGGATGAAGGCGCTTGCCTCCCATAGAGTCCGTCAGTTCTCAGGAGTGAGCTCTGAGCACCGTTTGTTGTGCCCTCTCCCCAAAAATAATATGGACAAATCCCTTGACTTCCCCAATCCCCTGAAAGGGTCTTGGGGGCCCATTTTGGGACTTGGGGCTGCACTTGGAGAAGAGCCCTCTGGCAGGAAAGCACTGAGTATGGCTGCAGGGGTCCGCAGTTCTGGCTGCAGAGGCCCTGAGCCAGGATGGAGGGCTGGAGGGATGTGTTCGTGCCCGTTCAAGCTCCCTTGAGCCGGGACGATTGTCCACTTGCCCCTTCATTCTCTTGCCAGTGTGGCCGACGGTAGCGCTCGGCCTTGGTGCCAGGACTCAGCGCTTCAGGCCTCTCCTCTTCCTCTCCGGGCTCGCTGTCCCCCACCCGCTTCGCGTGGGCAGCTGTGGAACGCGGGGGCTCAGCCTCACCTCCCCCACAGGCCAAGAGTGCCAGCCGTTTCTTCAGTGCCATCCATCAAGTGCAGACAGGCCCCTCCTCGCCACCCAGCCTCTTCCTGGCGCCCACAGCCAGTGAGACTGAAGTAGGGGTGGGGGCGGGAAGCGGGGAGGGGCACCACGGGTGTCTGGGGGCCAGGTTGGAGCCAGCTCTTCTCTTTCCAGGGGCCCTCTGAAGCCCTGTCCCTTGACCCAATCTCTGGAGATACAGATCTGACAGGGTCACTCAGGCTGCGCCTTCCTCAGCTGTGGGTGAAGGCCTCACCCCATCGGAGAGGGCGGCCCTGGAGACCGCTCAAATGCAACATCCCCTGGGCCACCGCAGTGGCCATGTTCCAGAGCCCATTCTTCCTCCCCAGGGGAGCCACAGCCCGGAAGAGAGTGGACATGCTCCTGAAGTGCAGGGCCTAAGGCTGGAGGTCAGGGTGGAGTTTGACGGGGTCTCTGGGGAGGCGATGCTGTGGGAGATGAGGGGCAGAAGGCAGGGGGGCAGGGAACTGAGAGACTGAGGAGCTCCTGCAAGACAATTGGAGGAAACGGCTGCTCAGATCCTTCCGGGGCAGCCTGGCTCCAGAGCCGGTGCTGGGGGGTGGGGGGCAAGGAGGGCGCTTGTTGGGTGGGGGTGGGGGCAAGGAGTCGATGAGTTCAGCAGCTCCAGAACTTTCACTGGAACTGAGATTTCCTTCCTGAGGAGGAAGGTCCCCCAAGCCAGGAAGACCTGGGAAAGTCATTACCAAGGGGGGCGGTCCGAGGGGGGGGGGGCCCTGCCGGCCTTTCCTCCAAGCTGGGGAGACTGGATTTGGTTAGGGACCTCGGCCAGCTTGGGAGGAGCAGCCAAGCCTGGCAGTTTCCCGTGGGGTGTCCTGCGGAGCAGGTGGGGGGGGGTTGGGGGGCAGTTCTGTTTCCCTGGAGCATGATAAGAGCAACAACAACAGTCATCATTGGCATTCAATTGTGCCTTGCCCTGGACAAAGGGTTTCCATACATTATCTCACCAGGCCATGTGACCCTCTGGGGGGGGGGGGCAGGCTTCAAAGGAAAGCAGTGGTAGGAGGGCCAGTTAAAGGTCATCTGCGTGAGCCAGCAGGTCTCTATAGACTGGGGGGAGGGAGCCCAGCCTGATCAGTTCTAGAAAAAATTTGTCCGAAGACAGATATCATCCTACACCCTCCCAATCCCCTCCAACCCACCCCCCCACACACATACACACACATCACAGCACTTGGGTAATTTATCATCGCAGCACATGTAGTACCATTTTGTTTTTGTAAGGATTTATACCTCGCAGGACAGATTCATGGACTCTAGCAGCATCAGTCAGTTTTTGCAGCCTGAAAGTCATTTTTTTTTCTTTTTGGATCACACCCTGCGATACTCAGGGGTTACTCCTGGCTCATGCACTCAGGAATTACTCCTGGCAGTGCTCAGGGACCATATGGGATGCTGGGAATTGAACCGGTCATACAAAGCAAACGCCCTACCCACTGTGCTATCACTCCAGTCCCTAAAAGTCTTTTTTTTTTTTTTTAATGAAATGGCTGCAAGTTTGTCCAACTTGGACAAACTTGCAGGCTATCGAATGTAGCCTGCCCACAGGGCAGAGTCTGGCAAACTCCCCGTGGCGTACCAAATATGCCAAATACCAGTAACAATGATGGGTCTCATTCTCTCAAAGAGCCTTGAATATAATCTCAGGGCTAGGATGAAAGAGACGTTACTGGGGCCTGCTCGAGGCAATCGACAAATAACAGGATGATGAAATGAAATGAAATGAAATGGCTGGAGCTATAAAGTATAAAAATAAATTGATCTAAAAAAAAAGCAACAACTGAAACACCCCTAATGCTGTCCAGGGAGATGAAATCTCATGGAGTTGGAACGCAAGTAAGATTCCTGGAAAGCAGGGGAGCTGTTAGCCAGCATGAAGATTAGGGTGCTGATGGGTTGATGCTGTACCCAGTAGAGGCAGGGGTGTCAGGAAGAGGCGGCCGGGAGTTGGGGAAATGCCCAAGGGGTTGAGCACATCTCTGCATGTGGGGGGGACTGGTTTCCATTCCTGGCACAGCATGTTCCCCCGGCATTGCCAGGAGCAAACCCCGCAAACACCATGTATGATTCAAAACAGAAGAAAGAAAGAAAGAAAGAAAGAAAGAAAGAAAGAAAGAAAGAGGGAGGGAGGGAGGGAGGGAGGTGTAGTGGGACAGGTCCTTCTTCATTGTAGTGACACTGCAGTTCAGTGACAGGTGCAGAGAGGAAAAAATTCTCCCACTAGGGCGTTTGTCTTGCACGCGACCGACCCAGATTCGATTCCTCTGTCCCTCTTGGAGATCCCGGCAAGCTACCCAAGAGTATCCCGCCTGCATGGCAGAGCCTGGCAAGCTACCCTTGACGTATTCGATATGCCAAAAACAGTAACAAGTCTCACCATGGAGAAGTTACTGGTGCCCGCTCAACCAAATCGATGAACAACGGGAGGACAGTGCTTCAGTGCTACTCTCCCAGAGAAAGTGAGTGAGTGGGGCCGGGTGCCCTCCTGAAGCTTCTGTGGAAGATTCCACCATGGAGGTCGCACTGGGCAGCTCTCCTGCAGAGATGGGCCAAACTGTCTTCTTAACTGCTTTTCCACTTCTGACTACTGAACCTGGACTGCACTGGACTGACCTTGGCTGGGAGTGCAAGTGCTGCAGGTCTTGCTTAGCCATCCCCCCCCGCCACCCCCCCCCCCCACACACAGAGTTCCCCTTTCAAACCTCTACCAAGTGAGAGGCTGGCTTTGGACACAATGGGCCTGGATTCAAACCCTCGCTCTGCCACTCCCAACTTATGTAACTATGGGAAAACTCTTCTGCCTCTAAACTTTCCTGATCGTAATTAAGACCTACCCCAAAGAGCTGTTCTAAGGATTCTGTGAATGACTTCTTCTTGTTATATGCTTAGAATGTTGATTGACAGTCCAAATGAATTAGGTACCTTTTTGCTAGTTTTGAAGAAACTATAAGCCAGAATGCTAGATACCAGGACCCTGATGTCCAGAGAGGAGTTGGAAGTGAAATGTAGCACTTGATGCAACTTCTCTCAACAAGAGAGACAAGATCTAAAATCCTTTTTTTTTTTTGGTCACACCCAGTGATGCACAGAGGTTACTCCTGGCTCTGCACTCAGGAATCACCCTTGGCGGTGCTTAGGGGACCATATGGGATGCTGGGAATCGAACCCGGGTTGGCCCCATGCAAGGCAAACGCCCTACCTGCTGTGCTATTGCTCCAGCCCCCAAGATCTAAAATCCTTAATTCTTAGTTAAAAGGAGCTGGAGTGATGCTACTAGTGGGGCAAGCGTTTGCCCTGTAAGTGGATGACCCAAGTTCAATCCCTGGTACCCAATATGGTCTTCCAGGAATGATCCCTGAGCACAGAGATAGGAGTAAACCCTGAGTACCAATAGGTGTGACCCAAAAACAAAAAGACTTTTTTGAAAAAAAATTTTTATTGAATCACCGTAAGATACAGTTACAAAACTTTCATGATTGAGTTTCTGTCATACAATATTCGAACACTGATCCCTCCACTAGTATACATTTCCCACCACCAATGTCCCCAGTATACCTCCTGCCACCAAAACAAAAAAAGACTTAAAAGAAGTAAAAGTTATGAAGTCAAAATGCCTATCGTGTGGCTAGAGAGATAGTATGGCAGGTAGGTTGCTTGCCTTGCATGAGGCTGATCTGTTTTATCCCCAGCACCCCATCTGGTCTCCTGAGCCCGCCAG